GCAACCCCCTGCTCAAAGATGGTTCTGAAGTCAGATCCAGTTTCAAACTGGATACGACCCTGAGCAACCTGACTTAACTATAAGTTAGATCCAACTGAGTTTTAAATATATCATTTTGAATATATGGTTACTTGGGAACAATTTCTCCAGCAAAACAAAATCCTCCTGTGAGGTGCTACCAAGGAGGAAAGTCCCGTTGTCAGATCCCAGGTCTGTCCCCTCTGACAGCTCTAGTGCAACGTGACCGTTCAGTGGATCCTGCTCAGGTGTCATTGTGTTTTGGTGGGGTTCAATATCAAATGGATGAGCTCCCCAATTCGATTGCCCTTGCTGCCCTTGATGTCGGCACACGGAACACGATACTCTTCAGTTACTGATTTGCTTTCTATCTTGAAAGTTTTATTTTCTTCCTGGCAAGATGATTTTGAAATTCGCCTATGGATCTCACTGTGTCCTGGGAACAGACTTCAGCCAAGGCCAACAGGTATGATGCCCAATTCAACTTTTGCCTAACAAAACAAATCTTGTATCAGCTGAGTCCACCACTCAATATCCTGCTCCACTAATGCAAGGCCCATAGCAAGGACAAATTGATGTGACTTTTTAAATTCTATCTATTAACGTCATTGATTAAGTGCTGCCATCTCATGGTCATAGTCTGAAAATTCATTGTTGTAATCTGACTAGCTATTGTACATCACCCCTAGTAAAAATGGAAGAGTTGCCATGTTAAGTTGTAGGTGATGTATGAGAGTTAAATAAACCAGGTGCAATGTCCCTCATTTCCCTTGTACATACGTGGGGCAACTCATGCTGCCCTGATCGCCAGTGTCAAGCCAGCCAGTTTGGCTTGTCCCATTTTGAAGGCAAAGCTTATGGTTTAGGGGACCACTCAGCACTGCTCAAAGCTGGAGTAAGTCACCTCTATCCCTTGATAGAGGTATTTGAGCTCTGGAATGATGATGAGACTGACAGAGAAATGAGGGTCACCAGAGTACACCAGGAACCAGAATGTGACACCTACCATAGTGGTGACTCAAGGAAGATGCAACTGAAAGGATCAGGAATAGCAAAGCTCCTGATCCGCATCATGAAGCTGTAGAATTCCCTGAACTGAAACAAGAGAGACAATTAGACAATATATATTCAATTTGTATAGACATCCGGGAAAGTGGACAAAACACTGATGTCTAGACAGGCTCAGTGTATGCTCTGAAGCTGAAGAATGGTTGCGGAGAGATTTATACCTACTCTTGGGCAATCCTTGTGGTACTGCATGTGAGCAAAACCATGTTGAAACCATGTTTCTATTATAAATAAGAAGTTTGAAGAGTTGTCCTTATTTAAGTGAACCTCATTCTTATCCTCACCCATAGAGCTGAATGTCTTGTAGTACCCATTCCTCCTGGAGATGGTGTCACAGCAGCTGGGGCCTGGGTTTCTGAAGCAAGTTGCACAGAAGAAAGTTTAAATTGGTGCTTTTTATGAGTACTAGCATTTTTGGGAGGCAGAATTCAGAATATCTGGAGGGCAGAGGGAGAATATCCCACCAATATTCCCATTCTCGAGCAACCACGTTTGGTCCTTCATGCTCAGATCTTTTGCCTCTCTGCCATAAGGTACTTAACCAGAGGACAGACACAGCCCAAGAAAATGCTCTGGGTCTGTCCTTGTTATGTTCTGCTGATGTTTTTGCTATTTCTTAGCTATTTTTGCAGGATGAAGGTCCTGTGTTCCTGTACCAGCAAGCATCGATAACTATGAAAATAAAGCAAATGCTAGAAAAACTAATGCTAGAGAAGGGTAGAAGTTACTTTTGTCTAACACTGAAATAATCGGAATAAAGGAGAAAAGCATATCCTTGTGGTTAGGCTGTTTTCCCTCTGTCATCGGATATTTCTTTGTGGACCTGCTCCATATTCCTCCTTCTCTCTGTTTTCCTGCTGCCGTTTCAAACAGTAAGGTCTAGCAGGACTTGGCTCAGATTAAAGAAGCTCCAGGGTATTTTTGTGCCTTCTCTGTCCAGCTGGAGGATTTCAGAAGTGCAGGAACTATTTGCTCAACAACAGTAAGTTTAAAGCTTCTTCCAGATACAGTCTGAGGTCAGAAACCTGCTTTTGCTTAGTGACATGATCCCGGCTTTTCCTCTCTAGCTATTAGAGTGAAGGTAAAGGGCCCAAATTAAGGCTCTTCAGTACAAACAGCCCTGGGAGAAAAGGCAAAGAGTGAAGCAGCTGTGACATCTAGTGGCACTTGTGGCTGTTTCAGTAGAGAGGAAATTACACATAGCAAGTCATTTTAGATTTTGGGGGGGGGAAAAAAAAAAGAGGCAAGACTTGCTGACAACCTCCAGTGCCGAAGCCGCTTCAGGAATGCATAGGAAAATACATATTAAATAATGTTAACAATGTTGGAATAGGACATTCCAACGTAGGACTGCTGGATCCCGGAAATGCAGCATCCTTGTGGACCAAACCAGGGAGCCTGGCGCAGATGGGGTTGTTTTCTAACCAAAAACAGTTCTTCAAGCCCAGGCACCTCAGGGCCTCTGGCGCAGGGGAGAGGCAAGAGCTTCGCATGGCCCAGATCCAAGCAGTGGGGTGGCTGGGGAAGCTGCACCTGGGCTCAGAGGCTGCCTCACGGGCACATCTACCTAAAGCTGGGCTAAAAACAGCCACAGCGGGGACCCAGCTGCCTCCTGATGTGTGTTTTTCCAATTCCAGCAGATCACTGCTCAAGTCACAGCCTGCACACAGGCACTTGCATGGCTGAGGCAGTGAGCTCCGTCACACCGTGTTGGCAAAGCTCTTCTGAGGACTTTAAGGGATTCCTTACTCATGTGCCTGTGGGCTCCTCGGTCTTTTCCTGATCAGCCTGCTTAGGATGCTCAGACTCCTTTTTCTCCCAGCTCACCTCATACTTTCGTTATGGATTTGCAGCACGGTGACAGCTGAGGCTAGGCAGCAGCTAAACCCTGTGGTGCTAAGTGAGAGTCTGCGTGCCCAAATGCTGCTTGGTGCCCTCCAGGTTTATCAGCCTGTCCTAACAAAATCTGTCAGCTCCCTCTCCTGCCTCACTTCTGATTTTTGATGGGAGATTTGCATGGGCTTATGCGCTGCTGGGGACAGTGTCGCACTCTGTGCCATCCACCTGGACTCTGCTCCCCCGCATCCCTCCCTCCCTGCTCCCACGTGCTCGGGAGCCACTCCTGTGTTCCCGCCAAAGACTTTGTTCTGCTCCTACCAGGCGTGACACGGGTTATTTGGGAGGTAACATTCGTGATATGGTTGATTTGAGAGGTGACACTCGTGACATGATTTACTTGAGAGGTAATGCACTAACTGAGCTCTTTTACCTCCTCTGGGAGGAACTGGAGGGAGATCAGCCAAGTCACACGGCTGGACATCCGTGTGGGAATGTCCATAAGGACTTAGGAGCAAGTCCTATTGAACCCAGTGCCCGACACAGAGGGCAGTGAAAATGCTCTTTAGTCAGCTATTTGTAACCTGAGTTGAACACAGCTCACTTGCCGCCGCCTCCTCTTCCTCTCATCCCCTTCCTCTTTTTCACTTCCCTCTCATCCCCTTCCTCTTTTCCTCTTCCATTTTTGAGAGTCACTGGACTCCTAGATATCAAGGGCTCTGTAACAGCAGATGATGAAAATGATGTGGCAATAAGAGAAGACAGAAGTAGATGGATCTGCCGCTGTGTACGGAGAAGCAAATTGTTCTGTGTATTTTGGGGCGGAGAGGCAGGCTGCAACCTTCTTCCTACTCTCCTGCGTTGTGATGCTGAATTTCAGAAATAGATTTCTAAAACCCCTGGGGGGTGAGAAATAAAGTTGTTCCATGCCTAGTTATGCAGAGACAGAGGAACCAGAGTGTTTTGGGGCTGCTGAGGTCAAAAGGACTGTGCAGCTTGGCCGAAGCTGAGCGGTACACCAACATCCTGAAGAACCAGCCGGGCATCCCGGAAAGGAGTGTTGTCTCATTCATCATACCGGGATTAGTTGTTATCCAGCAGCAGTGTCTTCACAGGGCAGAGACCTAGGAGTCAGCCTGAACTCTCCTGCTTCTGCAGGAGCGAGGTGGACAAGCCAGGAAGCTCTGTTCTGTGCACACTTCTCTTCCCTGCTTAAAAAACCAGCTGGGATGCTGGGAGCAAAGAACGGCATCCCAAAGATTCAAGGTTTGCTGAGAGCTCCTCGTGGATTATACAGAAAAGGAGCAAGTGTCACAACACGAGCAACACCAATCCTCAAATGGTCCTAGTGTCTTTCTCTGCTATCTGGGGCCATATCAGAAGTTAAAATAAATCAATTTCTAGCCAATTCCTTAGCAAATGCTCTCAAATGTAGCTCTGTCATTGCAGCATCACCAGCTGCAGGGAAAAAAATCCAGTGGGCTAAAGCACAAGTGTAGCTAAACCCTTCAGTAAGTATCCTCACCTCTGCTTTTCTCTCTGTTATTTGTGGATAACAGAGGAACAGTCCAGCTGTTCCTGGCGATTCTTGCAGGGCTGAGATGCTGACACCATTCTTTGCTTGCCAAAGCACTGAAACCCACAGAGGAGCCTGTTTTCAGAAGGGTCAGCAGCTCTTCTCAGTTCTGGCCTTTATTTTCTTCAAATCAATCACGTCTTCTGTGGTTTATACTGAGCTCAGGACCAGATTTTACAGGCAGGTGTGTTAAGGGAGGGTCTGTAGGAGCAAGAAGTTCCTGACCAGCATATTCCTCAGCTTAGAGATAAATCCTTACAATTCTGACACTATATTCCCAGGGAATTGTGCTGCAGGGATGGGGTGCAAGAGGCTTGTCCCCATTATGAGCTTCATTTCTGGGAAATGGCTAGAGGCTGACAGGGTCTTACAAACAGGGTCTACAAATCAGTACTGCAGAAACTTTGGGGAAGGGGGAACTTTGGGACTAGAGCAAGGAAAAAGGCATCCTGCTTTCTACTGATCTCATATGATAACATCCAATAATGACATGAATGTATAGATGGGCCAGCTGAGGGAGCAGCATTTACTGAAGCTGCCTGTCAACTGCAAGACTCATATCCCCAACAAACCAGGGGCCGTGTTTAACCTCTGGCTGAGCAAGGTGTCCTTATTTTGTTGCTTGATTTCATGCCTCAGTGTAATTTAAAATGCATTTGATACACAACAGGCAAGTTTCATTCTGACACCAGCATGAGAAAAAAGAAATAAAATGACCACTGGGTCATATAATTTATATATATAGCTAATTTATATATATAGCTAAATATATATAATTTAGCTGGGGTCAAATGCTCCTGATCTCACTGTTTTCAGGACTTGGACTGTTATGTGACCCTTGCAAGAGGGGTCGTTCTGAATGTGACAGCTACCTATGAGCAAAAATGAGGGGGACAACTTAGAGATATCAGAGTTTTCATTTTTCTGGTCATTTTTCTGCTGTCCAGTCTGGTTCATTTTTCTCATCTCTATGACATTTTCTTACTGTGTGTTATTCGGTAGATCAGCTTCTCTCTTTATCATGGGAATTGTTTGTACAGAAACAGTTGCTAAGATTGAAAGCTTCTCGTATACACAGCAATAATACAATAGCATCTAACTTGAATAATCTCTGCAAGAACCTAAGAGAAAGTCAAGGACAGATTGCCTTGGAAGTGGAATCTGGTATTTTTAGTAGTGAATGGATTTCTTATAGAATCAGTACATGTGCAGTCTAAGGGTGTCAGTTACCCTTCATAAGAATTCAAGCAAGTGCCCACAGACACACAGATAAACACACACGGTTTTTGAGGGCGGCTTATGACATATCGCAAATCCATACCCAAAAAACAATGTATCTTAAAGTACTCTACAACCCACTGTGGGAAAATCTTACTGTGGAGTAGTGATTTTTTTTTGTTTTATATGGACTGAGATCTAAGGTCACTTTACTCTCAGCTGCAAGAACTGCATGTTCTTTAGTGAACTGACCTCATACCATTCATTCCACGTTTTTCTAACTTGTTGGTTGACATGTCCTAGGTGCAGACATGCCCTCTGCTGCCCAGCACATGTCCATCTTGCAGACCCTGTCCCTAAAGCCTGGGAAACTTGTGTCTGCCTCAATTTCCTGGTCAAAAGCTAGGAGGGGTTTGTTGTTGTTGTTGGTTTGGTTTTTTTTGTTGTTTTTTTGGGGGGAGAGTGTTAATCAGCTTTTTTTTTTTTTTTTTTCCTTTCATTGCACTGTGGCACATTTTTTGCATGACAGTACAAATTAACAAGAAGCAGAGCCATCACCAATTAATATCATCACAAGTTAATAATAAACGAGTATGGTGAAACAAAACATTTCAATTTGTGCTGAGCAACTAACTACAGTGTGTGGGGGTATATGCACCAGCTGCACAAAAACACCACCTAAAAGTGTTACCTTTCTTGCATTTTTACCAAGCCACGGCTACAAATCCCCGTTTAAATCCGTGTTTAAATTTGTATCTGTTTAACACCTCCCCTCCTCACTTGACTCTTAGGTAAAACCTAAAGGCTTTGCCTACCAGCCCATGAAGGCTCTGACGGTCGGTGGGGGGAACGGCTGCCCCAGCTCGCAGACACAGTTTGTGCCGCGAACGTTGCACGTTTTGGGCGTTATCGAGGCGGGGTTCCTGCATCCCCCATCTCCAGGTGGCGGCCGCCATGCTGCGGCCAGTGAACGCACTACAACCCC